TGTGGCACAAGAGAGGTGAAGCATGGTCGAATTTCTCTGCATTGGCTGCTAGGACACACCTGTTGTCCATAGAGGACCAATGGGCACTATTGAAGCTGATCTTGATCTGTCATTTGTTTGTGGAAGTAAAGCGTTGTTTCACCCAATGCTCAACTATGTTGTATTTTCCTTGGTTACTCTGACACCAAGATGCAATGGGGAGAAGTATTTGGTCTTCTACTCCTGGTGGTTGGTACAATGATGATCTCTGCTGTCCTCTAGGTCATTGAAGTCCTTGCCTGGGACTGATAGTCAGTGCTGCTGCTCTGCTTGACAACAGACTTAAGGGTTATGTACCTTGTCTTTGTCTTTATAAGCATTGTTGAAATGAGTATCCTTGTGTTTCTATCTTTGCACACTTTTTGTAAGTGTTGGGTCAAAATCTCTGTATAGAGGAGAAGATTATTTCTATAACTAGAGATAATTAAATCACAAAAGAAAAATTAGAAATAATTTAACTTTGTATGAAATAATTTCATTGTTTAAAAATATCCAAATTCAATAAAAGACAATTAAGAAAATTTACTGACTACTTGGGGTGGTGAACACACAATATAATATACAGATGATGTAGTATAGAATTGTACACCTGAAACCTATATAATTTCATTAACCAGTGTGTCACCCCAATAAATTCAATAAAAAAAGAAAATTTACTATTTGAAAAAAAAATAATCCAAATTCAAAAGCAAACACATCTACACCTGCCAGAATGGCTGCCATCAACAAATCATCAAACAACAAGTGCTGGCGAGGGTGTGGATGAGTGGATAAAAAAAACTGTGGTACATATACACAATGGAATACTATGCAGCTGTAAGAAAGAAAGATGTCTTATCCTTTGAGACAACATGGAGGGACCGGGAGAGCATTATGCTAAGCGAAATAAGCCAATCAGAGAGAAAGACAAATACCACATAATCTCACTTATTTGTGGAATATAATGAACAAAATAAGTTGATGAACAAAATAGACCCAGAGACATAGAAAGGAGTATGGTTCAGACTGACAGACCTCAGAGGAGGGGGGTGGGGGTGATGGATGAGATAAACCAAAAAACTTATATGCATATATGTGTAACCAATGGATATAGACAACAATGCTGAGGGGGTGGGGGTGGGGTGGGATGGAGATGAGGGTGTCTAGGGGGGAAAAAAGGAGAAACATCTGTAACAAAAATAAATTAATAAAAATTGGAAAAAATAAAAAGCAAACACATTGTGAGAATCTCTTTACCCAACACACAAAATAAAGGTCAGCATCTTCGTTGTGACAAGCTTCTAGACTCAGAGAAAAATTCTGAATGAAGAGTAGGTACAGGGGACAAGGACATAAATTGGCAACTCATAACAGTAGAAATGCAAAAGAGAAACACACACGTTCCTATCTCATTACTAATCAAAGAAATAGAAATTTAAACCATAGTATATCACCTTTCTTTCTTTCTCTCTTTCTCTCTCTCTCTCTCTCTCTCTCTCTCTCTCTCTCTCTTTGCATTTGCACACTCCAGAAAGACGAAGGGAGAGAGAGAGGGAGGGAGAGAACTGGCATGTGTGTTGCATGGCTGGGAGCATGGCCGGAGATTTCTCTTTAGGAGTGAAAGTGATGGGTCGTTGAGGGTCTGGAGCTCTTCTGTGCCTTACCTAGAGGGAGGTAATTCTGCAATTACTGTAACTCAGCAGTTCTCTTTCCTACAGTATGTATTAGACTTGCACATTGGAAATCTGAGAAAAGATTTTTACAGCTAACAACGTGTGAAGACTCTTGGACTCTACACTTGCCAAGTGTGTCAGTAGCTTTGAAAGCTATGTTTATGAAGAGAGCACCAAGACCTTAATGATGTGTATTTGTATGATTGTGTCTATGGCAGACACGAAGATATGACACTCAGATCTCCCTTCAGTAAAGACCTTGCCATTCAGCCCTGGTTGGTTTGGCTCAGTGGTTAGAGCGTCGACCTGCGGACCAGAGAGACCCGGGTTCGATTCCCGCTAAGGGCGCATGCCTCAGTTGCAGTTTGTCCCCGGTCCTGGTTGGGTCTTGCGGGTGGCAACCACTCCTTGCAGCGAGCTGACAGCCCCCAGCTGCAGTGCCTTCAGGATCCACTTCAGCCTGGAGCAGAGTCCATGCTCTTTAACCAGCAACCGAGAACAGCTGCAGTCGAGGGCGTGACCACTTCTTGCACAACACGAGACACCCCCTAACAGCAATCTTCAATCTAAATGTACTTTTTTGCCTGGCTGGTGTGGCTCAGGGGATTGAGCATCATCCCATGGACTGAGAGATCCCTGTTCAATTCTGGGTCACATGCCTGGGTTGCAGGCTCAATCCCCAGTAGGGGGCGTGCAGGAGACAGCTGATTGATGTTTTTCTTTCACATGGACGGTTCTATCTCTCCCTCCCTCTCTCTCTAAAAAATCAATAAAAACATATTTATAAAAAATAAATGTACTTTTTTGATATGATGAGACTCTATTGGCTCTGCATGGAGATCTCGGTCTCTCTCTGCCCAGTCTTCCCTCCTCCCTTCTTTCCTTTCATGGTCTGAAGACTTTTCCTGACTCAGTCTGTTTCCTCCCACTCTTGTCTTTCACAGGCATTACCCCTCCATGAAATGCTTGTCCTCCTGCATTTCTGTTTCCCAGAAGACCCAGTGGACCTGTTGTGTCTAATGGCATTTGTTGTTTCTTGCCTATCCACTCTTCATATCCCTTCCAAGTTGGGGGGAATCTCCTATTGTGAGATTCCTGATCAGGGTCAAGGCTTTGCCTCCACCACAGCAGCAGAAGGGGCATTCATTCTTCCTCACTGCACCCTGAACCCCAAGGCTTTAACGTGTGACTAATTGGATAGTCCTGCCTGGAAATTTGAATATTGAGAAAGTAACGTAACACACAAGTGCAGCCATGAAGTTGCCAAGAGTGGCAACAATGAGTCCCACGGCAGTGGTGTCCAGTGCCCAGGTTGCCGGGAAGGGACGTGGAATGAGGCAGCGGCCCCTAGCTGGTATGCCCGGCTGTTACCTTGCTTGGGGTTTTCCCAACACAGCTTCTTGTTCTTCCTACTCGTATTTTGAGCCTGAGTCTCCAGAATTCACAAAAGAATATGAAGTTGCTAATGACTTTACAGTAGCCAGCAACCCCATGTAGGTAAGTAGGCTCATGTTCCCCAAAAGTATCTATCTAACTTTTATGGGGATTCATGTGTCTGGAAGGTGTTAAGTTGAGAGATTCTGAAAGATGGGGTCTCATCTGTGACCCTCTTTTTCTTCCACCCCATATCCGAGTCATCAGTAAACCCTACCGGCTCAGTCTTCCTAGCAGACGTCGAATCCACTCACTTCTCCCCATCTACAGAAGTAGCATCTCTGCTACCGGCTCCCTCGGTCTATTCTCCATGCAGCAGCTAGAGTTTGCCTTTTAAAATATATCAGTATAGCCCTGGCCTTGGCTCAGCAGTTAGTGCATCGGCCTGCGGTCCGGGGAAACCCAGGTTCGGTTCCCGCTAAGGGCATGTACCTGGGTTGGGCCGATGCTCTAACCACTAAGCAAACCAGCCAGGGCCTTATGTTTATTCTTAATTGTCTACCTTTCCTGCTACAGTGAAACTCCACAAGGGCTGGTGTTTTTTGGTTTGTTTCTTTGTTTTTTTGGTTAATCCTCACCCAAGGATATTTTTCTATTGATTTTTAGACAGAGTGGAAGGGGGCAGGGAGGGAGAGAGAAACATCGATGTGAGAGAGATACATTGACTAGTTTGCCTTCCACACGACCCCAACAGGGGCCAGGGATTGAACCTGCACCCCAGGTATGTGCCCTTGACCCGAAATGAACCCGAGACCCTTCAGACCTCAGTCCAACACTCTAACCTCTGAGCCAAACCAGCCAGGGTGAGGGCAGGTGTTTTTAACTGAAGAGTGTGCTGGTCACATTGGGTATTTGATAAATATTTCTTGAATAAAAAGAAACATGAAGGATGCTTTTATCAGCTAAGTGAGTTGATAGTGTTTGGAAATGAAGGTATAGAAGTTGGAGTTGGCTGAACTGTTCTTCCAAATGGAGTCAGGGAGAATTTGGAGTTGGAGGTTGTGATAGAAATTCCTTCTAGCCCAGCTGGTGTGGCTCAGTGGTTGAGCGTCGACCCATGCACCTAGAGGTCGCCAGTTCGATTCCTAGTCAGAGCACATGCCCAGGTTGTGGGCCCAATCCCCAGTGGGGGCCATGCTGGAGGCGGCCAATTGATATTCTCTCCCATCAATGTTTCCATGTTTCTCTACCTCTCCCTTCCTCTCTCTCTAAAAATCAATAAAGAAAAAAAATTAAAATAAATTTCTTCTAAACTAGGAAGGTAGGTTTAGAAGGATAGATAATTGATGTGTAGAGGGGGAATGAGCCAAAGGATGATTAAGAATGGAGAGTTACACAGGGTGGCCCACCCAGTGGGAAATCTCTGGTGGAGTATAAATCACAGGGATGTCTACGTGACCATTTTAAGTTGTTTTCTGTGCCCTACAGTGATGTAATATACAACACACACAAAACTTGCTACACACAACAACCTTGATATATTGGCTATTTTGATTTAATTTAATTTTGTGAAAGAAGATAATTCAGGAGAAATTATAAACTGCATTTGGGTCAACATCAGTGTGCACACACAAAGGGACAACATAAAGCAGAGAATTTGCAACAACAGTTTGATGGAGACAGAAAGCCTGGGCAGAGGTGAACACAAGAATGCAAATTATCCAGGTTATTGCTGAAATGTTGGACAAGGCATGACCTTTCTACTGTGTAGAAGATATAAGCTCTATATTTTCAGGTGACCCTCACTGACCTGTGGCCCACTACACTAGTGTCTTCTCTTAGGATTGTGAGGATTTGGAGATGAGAAGGGTGCCCCTGAACACTGGGGCAGAACTCTTATCTCCGATGGTTCCTTCCACACCCAGTAGGGGGCGCTCAGCGGGCCACCAAGCAGAGCTCATAGGTTGGGGGGATGTTGCCAAAGCCTGAGATCTTGGGGGTGAGATCGATGTCAGCAGGTGGCACCAGCGGGCGTAGGGAGAACTTCTGAAGGATGGAGGTCAAGTAGAGGAAGAGTTCCATGCGGGCCATGGCCTCGCCAAGGCAGACACGCTTTCCTGTGAGCACAGTGGGGGACAGGAGGGTCGGTGACATTTGCGCTGGGATAGTGGAGTCATGAAGAGCCTTCTGACCCAACCATCCCTCTCAGCCTCATCTACTTCCTCGGCATCTCTGGGGTCATGATACCACCACTTGATAGGCTTATTAAAAAGACGCAGTGGGTTCCTAGAGTCAGTGCTCAGCTAGGATCTGTCACTCAACACGTGGCAGACACATCTCTGAATGGCTTGGATTCCATCAGATTCCAAGATGGAATGGTGGTAAAGGAACCTCGAATATGAAGATTCTGTGCATTTCAATTTCTTAAATGTTTACCAGAAGCCTAGTTGGGGAAGAAAACAAAAGCACACACTTAAATAGTGTCAGTCACCCTTCCAATGGTTTGGAGAGATTAATCTCCATTTTACAGACAGGGAGCTGAAGTACCTCCCCCCCCCCATTGTCCCCACCATTTGTAAGTGGTGGAGTTGCGACCTGTTTCCTAACCATGCTCATTTCTATAGTACAACGGTGTATGTGACTAGTTAACACTGCCTATTTCAGACAGAGACCATATGACTGGCCAAACCTAAAATAGTTTCTATTTGTTCCTTCGCAGAAAAAGTTTGCTGATCCCTACATAGTACTATTATTTGATGATTCTGGGATTCTAGGATTCTTTGAAATAGCACTCAACTCCCCTTTCAGATCTGAACCAAATCCAGACCAGTGGTCACAGGACACATCAAGCATCTTCCTGGGGGGGACACTCAGACCACAGAAACCTACCAGAAGAAAAGGGCACAAAGGCTTCATTCTTCTTGAAGCGGCCCTTCTCATCCAGGAAGTGTTGGGGGTAGAAGGCATCTGGGTAGCGGAAGTATTTGGGGTCTTTGAGGACTGAGCCAAGCAGGGGAAACACGTCAGTGCCCTGTGGTGGAAATGGGGGCGGTGAAGAGAAATCAGTGCTGGAGCATGGGGTAAGGAACCAGGAGGAGAGAGGGGTGCAGTGGAGGGAGAAGGGGTGCCAGTGAGGGTGTACTCCACCTTGGGCAGGAGGTAGCCTCGGAAATGAGTATCCTGAGTGACACTGTGGGGATATCCCAGGGGCGCAATCACTCTCTGTATCTCATGGATCACGGCATCTGTGTAGGGCATCTTGACTCGATCATCCATACTTGGGACTCGGTGGGGTCCTATCACATGGTTAATCTCTTCACAGATCTTGGCTGGAAGATAACAGAGAAAGCCACAGGGATTACACAAAATCCATTAAGCAAGTAACCGGGAGAAGGAAAGTGTCCGATAAATATTTCATTATTTGAGTTAGTAAATTCAAGCTGTACAAAGAGAATGAGGCTAGAAAAGTTGAGCGGATATGGGTTGACCTCTCCCACCACCTCCACCAGGAGAAAGCTACTGACTTGCTTTGAACTGTGTTTGAAGGTAAAGAGGTAAAGTTGGTTTTTTTCTTAAGCAAAATGAGTTCTTCATTTACAGTTACCACATGTTGGAAATGGGTTTTATGTGACTCAGACACCAAGTACAAGGTTATATTAAATAAATAACCTTCTTGTGCTGAGAATCCGAGGTTCTGTATTTAATATATCTTGTGGTTCTAATGTTTGATAAGTCTAAGACAGTGTGTTTCTAAGTTTTCAAGAGTATGTCTTCCTTCCTGTTGGGAAATACCAGGGGAGAAGAACAGGGGACCCTTACCTTGCACCTCAGGGTGCTTCATTAGCAGCAGGAATCCATGGTAGAGGGTGTAGCTCACTGAGTCTGTGCCAGCAAAGAACAGGTTGAGAGTGGTGATGACCAAGTTCTTAAGGTTGAATTCCGTGTGAGGATTATTTTTCTCCTGAAAGAGGAAGGATAGTAAACATTTACTGTTTTTCTTCTTATTCCCTCCTGCATTCAGGGAAGGGCTTTTTGAAAAGCCAGTAAGTTGGTAAAGTAACTGAGCGTTGAAAGAGGATGTTCCAAGCAGAGGAGTTAGCCAGGGCAAACATCCTTAAGTAGGGACACAGCTGCTGTATTCGAGGAGAAGCGAGTGGAGTCATCCTCTTTTCTCTGGCTGCCCTGAGAATTCTTTCCCTGTTATTAATTTTTGACAGTTTTAATATAATATGCCCTAGAGAAGGCCTGTTTGCTTCTTGGATTTGAGGACCCATGCACCAAGAGGTCACCGGTTCAATTCCCGGTCAGGGCACATGCCCAGGTTGTGGGCCTGATCCCCAGCGGGGGTCATGCAGGAGGCGGCCAGTCGATGTTCTCTCTCATCGATGTTTCTCTCTCTCTCTCTCCCTTCCTCTCTCTCTAAAATCAATAAAAGAAAAAATTTTTTAATCAAATACTTAAAATAAATAAATAAATAAAAAGTTTCTGCACTGTAAAGGAAACAGTAAAAATAAATGAACAGGCAACCCAAGGAATTTGAGAAAATATTTGCAAACCATATATCTGATACAGGGATAATATCCAAAATATATAAGAAACTCCTACAACTCAATGCAAAAAAACCTAATAATCTGATTTTAAAATGAGCTAAGTACTTAAATAGAGATTTCTATAAAGAAGACATAAAAATGGTCAACAGGGACGTGAAAAGACACTCGACATCACTAATCATCATGGAAATGCAAATCCAAACCACATAAGATACCGTTTCAGAACTGTTAGGATAATTATTAACAAAAGAGCAAAAGATGAAAAGTGTTGCGCATGTTGAGAAATTGGAACTCTTTGTACACAGTTGATGGGAATGTAAAATGTTGAAACTGCTATGGAAACAGTGTGGATAAGATCCTGAATACATTAAAAATAGAATAACTCTATGATCCAGTAATCCTACTTCTGGGTATGTATTGAAAAAATTGAAATCAGGAACTCACAGAGATATTAGCACTCCCATGTTCATACAGCACTAGTCATTTTTTTTTTTAATCCTCACCCGAGGACATTTTTTTGGATGTATCTTCACATAGAGCGGGAGGGGAGAGGGAGGAAGAGAGAGAGAGAAACATCAAACCAAGAGAGACACATGGAGTGGCTGCCACCCACACAACCCCAACCAGAGCTGGGGACAACCGAGGTACATGCCCTTAGCGGGAACCGAACCCAGGTGTCTCTGGACTGCAGGCCAACACTCTAACCACTGAGCCAAACCAGCCAGTGCCAGCACTAGTCACTTTTTAAGATTCAAAGTTTTACTTAAAAAAATGCAAAGAATTAAGACTTTTATAATTTCTACATTTTGTCTCTAGGTAGAAGGAACCATGTAAAACTATAATTGCTATATTGTTTCAAACATGTTTACAAATGGGCTTAGGGTGGCAGGCACCGTGAGATGAGAGGCAAGGATTGGGGATGGAGAACAGTACCTGGTGCATCTTGCTGAGGAAGCAGTCAATGAAGTCCCGAGGGTTCTGTGGGTCAAGGGACTCCTCGCTGATCTTGACCCTGGAGGCAATGAAGTCCTTGAGCTCTTCTGTCAAGTAGTAGATGCGATTGTGTCTTCCTGGCAAATACTGCATGATTCCGGAGTACATGTCATATAGCTGTGGAGAATAGGCACAGGGTGTGTGTCAGTGATGGGTACCTGGGTACATGGAGTCAGCATGGGCTGAATCTCTAGACAGACAGCTGGTCTTAACATCCAGGGCTGAGTCGGAGAATTAGATGTCCATTTTCTTTAAAAAATTTTTTTAAATTAATTTATTTTTGTTATAGATGTTTCTCCCCCTCCCCCCACACACACAAACACCCTCTTCCCTATCCCGCCCCCCACCAAGCATTGTTGTCTCTGTCCATTGGTTACTCATACGTGCATATAAGCTCTTTGGTTTATCTCATCCCTCCCCGCCCTGACCCTCTCCTCTGAGGTTTTCTTTAAGACACTCAGGGCATATTGATCCTTTCTTCTCAATGTTATGGGGTGGATTAAGTGAAGTATAGGCAGATGATTAGTTATCTGAGGCTGGTAGTGGGTAGAGAGGTGGCAGATGGGTACCTGTGTCCAGGGTGAGTTCAACTCAATGAATCTCTCGTTGGCCATCTGTAGCAGCTTCAGGAACTGCTTGTCCTCATAGTCAAAGCGGCTTCCAAAGAGAACGGAGCTGATAATGTTAGAGACACTGCGGTTCAGGAAGATGGTGGGTTTGATGGGGGCACCTGGATGATGAAAATGTCTATGTTGGAGGCAATGGTTAAGAGATGGGGTGTGGAATCACTTGGATGTGGGTACGAGTAATGGCTCAACTGAATAGCATGCAAGAGTCGTTTCATTTTTTTCTGTTGCATCTAGAAGCCCCATATTTCAGGTTGGTTAGTATCCACTTCCTTGGTTGAAAAGGATTCAATACCATTATGTGTGTAAAATGCCTAGCACAGTGACTGGCACGTAGTAAGCTCTCAACACATGCGAGTGGAAATTATTGTTGTTATTATTATTATTGATATGTGTTTGTGGGAAAGAAGTTCTACTAAATGACATAAAAAAAGAATGCCTACTTTCGGAGTCTAGCTCTGCCACTGTGCCTTTGGGGTATTGGGAAAACCCTCCCCTAGGCATTGATTGCATCACCTAACAAACAGGCTGCTGGTGTTAGCTCAGTGTGTTGGAAATCACTTCCCCCAAATAATGCAAACATTCACAAATATGCACTTTTACAACTGATTACTGTGGGTACATGGACAGTCAAACCTTTTCAGTAAACCCTGTTACATATCTGCAGAATTCAGGTAAGAAATTTTTGATTTAGAGAAATGTATCTCTATTTCACTGATTCATTGATTTATCTCTGTATTTCTCAATCTCTGTGCCTTTTCTCTATAGATCCCAGTGGTTCCTAAACTTATCATTGGTTAAGGAGTGAAGTTCTTTAAGAGTAATGAATTTTTTATCCAGTCTCCATAAAAGAAGTACAAACTTACGTTGTCAAAGTCTACATGCAATTTCTGGGCTTGTAGACTGACTGCCATGCACTGATTCAAGTTTCCAGACAGGAGAATCTGTAAGGGTCTTTCATGTTAACTTTTAACATGGACCCTGTTTGGGAAATACGTGAATCCTACAATTAATCTTTTCTCATCCTTTTTGTCCATAACTTTCTCCTACCAGGACCTTTCCTTTGGAAACTGAACTCACTGCAACCACACAGTCCCTTGTAGCCCTCCACCTTTTTGCACCCATACCATTGGTCTTGTGAAATTCCTCCAGTAGAAAGCTGATTTCCTCCTGGATCTGCTTCTCAATGCTCCGCCTTCCCATCCCAAAGTCCCGAAGGATGGTCAGACAGAAGTGGCGGAGAATCCTCCATCGTTCTCCATTCGCCAGAACTACACCTGCCAGAATCACAGTGTTAGGCTTCTGCCTCCCCTCCTTGTCGTGCTCAAGTCTGTGACAGATCAGGTGGTGCCAGAACATGAACGCTGTAGACTATGCTCTCAGGGAAGCCTCTCACAAACTCCCAGGCTCAATGGGGAGACTAAGCTCCCCTCTCTACAGACGAGGACTGAGGTGAAGGGATAGGGAATCAGGCAAGGAATGAGTGAATGAAGTCAAGGAGAGTTTATCAGAGGACAGACTAAGAACTGGATAAATAATGGCATGGAGGGAGTGATGGAATGCTAGACAAAGTACCCTGAAGGAGACACTGCCTCTATTTTCTACATATCACTTGGATTCTCCTGACAGGTACATGCATGGATACACAAGATCACACCTGAATACCAATCTATCCACACTAAAGAACTTACCATATAGTAAGAAACATTTAAAACTGCCAAGTGTGAGGATGGTTTGATGGATATTTGAAAATCAATGAAAGGATGCATAGAATAATCAATGCAAGTAAGATTGTTTGACTGAACTGATGGACAGACAGATGAATAAAGAAGTAAGCAGATGGGAGGAGGGGAAATGGGTACAATGCTTGAGAAGTGGATGAATGGAAGGTTGAAAGAAAAAATGGATGGAAAGATTAATAAATTTGTTGATACATGAATGGTTGGAAGAGTTATGAATAGATGGAAGAATGGAGAGAATGGTGTGAGACTACTTGAAATGGAAGGGTGTGGGCTGTTAGAGTGGATGTATGGGTGACATTAATAAGGTATCTACTGAAATGGAGGCGGCAGGGGCCTATGTGTTGGGTATGCGTGTTTGTGGAGGAAGGTTAGGAGTAAGGTTGGCTATGAGGGTTTGACTGTGTACACAAAGCATGTAGTTAACCCTTTAAAAATGAGAGCAGGTGTGACACAGCAGGCACCCTGGAGTCAGATGGTTTGGGTTCAATCCTGTTTCTACCACTAACTCACTGTGTGACATTACATAACCTTTCCTACTCACAGATTTCTTACTGGAAAAGTTACTATGATATTAATATTCCCCTCCAAGGAGTAAATGTGATAATGCACGTTGAGTACTTATCAAAGAACATGGGACACAAGAAAGTGCATCACAAACATTTCATTGTTATTGTCACCTACCATGACTTTGGAAGTTTCTCTCTAGTGAAGCCATTTTCCCACGGCCACTGAACTCATCTGCTTGGTCTACCAGGGCCTCCTTCACTGCTTCATGTCCACATAAAACCACCACTGGCCGGGAACCCATGTACACTGTAAAGACTGGGCCGTATTTCTCCCTGAGCTGGGCGTAGGAAAAGACATAACAAGAGGAAGCTATTAGTGCAGCACATAGAGGCCAATCAAGATTTTTAGGGTGAAGACTCTGAGGACACAGATGAGAGAAGGGGAAAGGGGCAAGTTCTGATGTTGGAAGTACTACTGAAGCAAACGAACAGAGGAGCCTTAACTCCTGTGATCCTGGATAAGTCCCCTCTCACACCACACCATCCCAAGCTTAGTTTCCTCATCTCTAAAATGACTGACTTGGATTACATGAACTCCAAGGTCCATTCTTCTTTCTCCAAAAGGCACAATGTCTAGAATCCTAAAATTGTATGTTACTGAGTCTCGAAGTTCTCATACAACCTGAGTGTAAGGGGTATTATGTTTGGGGATTTAAGGTACTCTGATTCCAAAATTGTGAGACTGTGAGAGTGTGAATTTCTGATATACTAGAAATTTGTGTTTCAAAGACTTTAATATTTTAGGATTCAAGAATTTTAGTTGAGCCCTGGCCGGTTTGGCTCAGCGGTTGGAGCAGTGGCCTGTGGACCAGAGAGTCCCAGGTTTGGTTTCTGCTAGGGGCACATATAAAAAAAAAAGAATTTTAGTTGAGCAAATCTGTGTTTCCAAGTGCCCGTGTTTTAGAAGTAATAAGGTTCTAAGTATATCTGGCTGTAGAGTAAGTTGCTCTTAGCTCTGTCTGAGAGGTTTGGCCAGACTCACCTTTGTGAAAGACTGAGCGACGCTACCAGCATGGAGTTGTAACACATTCCCCAGGAAGGGCAGAGGTGTGGGACCAGGGGGCAGCGTTGCCTTCTTGTTGATCTGTTTCCAGGCAGTGAAGAGGAGCAGGAAAAACAAGCAGAGCTCCAGAAAGATGGTGAAGACGTCTCTTAGCTCCATGGTGACAGGTGAAGAGGTTGCATCCAGAGTACCAGTACCTGCCTAAATATGTTCTGGGAGATCAACTCATATTAAAATCTGAACATCGTTGGATTCAAGCTTTTGGAATATGAATGCCATCAGGGAAGAGATTCTTTTATCTAGGAGTATTTATATAACTAATTTAATGCCAGATACCAAATCACAGAACCAGGAAGCTGAGAGAATACCAAGCAAGATAAATGGCAAAACATCTACATTTAGCTATATCATTTCAAACCACAGAAAATCAAACATAATGAAAAAAAAATCCCTAAAGAAGGCAGAGGAAAAAGACACCTTACTTACAGAGGAGCAAAGATGAGAATTACATCTGACTTCTCTTAAGAAACAATGCCAAAAAAAAAGGTACTAGAGTAACATAGTTAAAATATTTAGAGAGAGGAAAAAAACCATTAACTTAAAATTATTTGTCTTGGGAAATTATCCTTCAAAAGCAAAGGAGAAATAAAGACTTGTTCAGAGAAACAAAAATGGAGGGAATTTGTTGCCAGTAGATCTACCATGCACAAAATGTTAAAATAAGTTCTTTAGAAGAGTCTGTTCAACAAATGTCTATTCAGCAAAAGTTTATTCCAGGAAAATTGGAAAGAAATGCAAAAAATTAAACTAGATCACCTTCTTACACCATATATAAGAATAAACTAAAAATAGATTAAAGACTTAAATGTTAGACCAGAAACCATAAAATTAGAGGAAAATATAGGCAGTAAATTCTCTGACATTGCTCTTTTTAACATTTTTGTTCCATATCTCCTTGGGCAAGGGAAACAAAAGAAAAATAAACAAATGGGACTACATCCCATTTGCACAGCAAAGGAAACCATCAACCAAACAAAAAAACAACCTGCTGAATGGGACAAGATACTCGCCAATAATACATTCGAGGAGGGGTTAATTTATTAAGAATTACATACAACTCAGCACCAAAAAACCCAATCCAATTAAGGGATGGGAGAGGACCTGAATAGATATTCTTCAAAGAGGATATACAGATGGCCAATAGACATATGAACAGACGCTCACTAATCATCAGAAAAATGCAAATTAAAATCACATCGAAACCCCAGGATCAGGAAGCAACATCTCCAGTGTCCCAAGGGGCCACCCCAGCATTGGGTGGTACCTCCCCAAAGTCCCAAAGGGACATCCCACGTGTCCCAAGAGGCCCAATTCAGCGTTGAGAGGGCCCTACCCTCCTGTCACGTACCCCTGAAGAAGCCTAATTTCTGGACCCTCTGGGGATAAATTTTAGGACCTGTAATGTCCCCTCTTCTCAAGCTGGTGTCTTCTCCATCATTAAACCTTTCCTGACTCCAAACTCTGCTGTTTTGACTACTGGCCTTTGAAGCACCCAGCACACAGACTTTGAACTGATGGTCCAGAAGATGGCAGTAGAATAAGTGGATCTTTCTTGCACCTCCTCCCAGAATCTAACTGGAATTAAAACTAAATTGTGGGATACTCACCCTGAATTACCAGCTAAAGATTGGCTGAAGAGGAGATTTTTTTTTTTTCAATGGTTCACTGGTCCCAGAAGACTCCTATGTTTTCCTTCCTTTGTGTTTTGTTTTGTTTTAATCCTCACCTGAGGATATTTTCTATTTATTTTCAGATAGAGTGAGAGAGAGGGGGAAAGAGAGAGAAAAACATCAGTGTGAGAGAGACATATCCATTGGCTGCCTCCTGACCAGGGCCGGGGACGAGCCGCAACCAAAGTAAGTGCCCTTGACAGGTATCGAACCTGCTACTCAATGGTCCGCGGGCCAAACCAGCCAGGGCTGAAGAGGAGACTTTTAAACGAGGAAGGGCAGCCCTGGCTGGTTTGGCTCAGCAGTTAGAGCATTGGCCCATGGACTGGAGAGACCCGGGTTCGGTTCCTGCTAAGGGCACGTACCTTGGTTGCAGTTTGTCCCTGCCCGGTTGGGGTCGTGTGGGTGGCAGCCAGTTGATGTGTCTCTCTTACATTGCTGTTTCTCTCTTTCTCTTCCTCCCTCCCTCCCCCCCTCCCTCCTATTCTATCTGAAGATAAGTACAAGAAAAAGTCCTCAGGTAAAGCTTTAAAAAAAATAATAAAATAAACAAACAAACAAGGAAGGGCAGAAACCAACTCAAAACTGGTAGGAAGGGTGGTGTCGGAAGAGGCACTGGCCCAGCTCCCAGGAGTGGTGGGCCAAGGGTGAGGGTCCGCCCGGAGAGAAGAGAGGCCTTGACCCCAGGCAGGGCTCCCCAGCCTAGACAGCCAGAGCTGGGAACAACTGCCCACACAGCAACCAGCTGCAGGGCTTCTCTCAGCCAGAGAGCTGAGCTGCCCAGAGACAAAGCCAATTTTTTTAAAGGGCTGGCTCACAGGATTTTCATTCCCAGCCACTCCTCCTAGGTTTGGGCTTAGAGAGGGCAGTCCATGGACTGGAGTCAACTGAGGAGAGATGGGTGGAAGGAGTTGGAGAGAATCGTGAAGGGCGGCTGCTGGGATACTTGTGCTGAGTCATCCCCCCAATATCCCAGCAGCCATTTTTCCTGAGAGGTAAGACCCTCTAAGCAGCAGAAGCCTGGGGAAAGCAAATACCCAGTCTCCCCCCCCCACCACCACCACCATGCAGCTCGCCCCACCTTAAGGAATCCCAGTGGCCCCACCCTCTGGAATCCAACACCCCAACTCTGCATTTTAACTTCTACTGAGGAGGCAGCAGTCTCAGGGAGCATAAGTGCATGCCCCCTACTGGGGATCAGGCCCACAACCTGGGCATGTGCCCTGATGAGGAACCGCACCGGTGACCTCTTGGTGCGTGGGTCGACGCTCAACCACTGAGCTATGCCAGCCAGGCCAATTGCTTTCTAATGTACTTATAGTGAACAGGTGGAATTTAAAATTGAAACACAATAATGTTTGTAATAGTATCCCCCAAAATGAAAAACTTAGGTATAAATCTCACAAAATATGTACAAAATATATATGAAAAAAATAAAAAATTCTAATGACAGATATCAACAAACAACTAAATACATTTCATGTGTGTGGAAGATTCAATATTTTCAAAATGTCATTTCCTCCCAACTTGGTTAATAGATTCAGTGAAATCCCAATCTAAATCTCACCAAGTTATTTTGATGACAGCAACAAACTGATTCTAAAGTTTATATGAATAGGCAAAAGACCTAGATTAGCTAACAAATACTGAAAAGAAGTATAGAGTTGGAGGACTGACACTACCCTACTACAAGATTAGAATTATCAGGACTATAAGGCTATAGTTATCAAGAATGTGTGGTATTGCCCTGGCCAGTTTGGCTCAGCGGTTAGAGCGTTGGCCTGTGGTCTGGAGAGACCTGGGTTCGGTTCCCGCTAAAGGCATGTACCTTGGTTGCAGTTTGTCCCCGGCCCTGGCTGGGTCGTGTGGGTGGCAACCACTCAATGTGTCCCTTTCACGTCGATGTTTCTCTCTCTCTCTCCCTCCCACTCTATCTGAACAAAATACCCCCCCCCCCCAAAAAAAAGTTCTCAGGTGAGGATAAAAGAAAAAGAATGTGTGGTATTGGCAAAAAAAGAGACAAAGCAATTAATGGAACAAAATAGATAGCCCAGAAGTAGATCCACATGACTGTAGTCAACTGATGTTTGACAAAGATCAAAGGTAATATAATGGGGGAAAGTTAATCCTTTCAACCAAGGGTGCTAAAGCAACTGGACATCTCTATGCAATAACATGAACATAGACACAGACCTTACACCATTCACAAAAATTAACTCAAAATGGAGCACAGATCTAAATATAAAATGCAAAACTACAAAACTTTTAGCAGATGACATAGGAGAAAATATAGATGACCTTGGGTTTGGTGGTGACTTTTTAGATACAACACCAAAGTTACAATCTATGAAAGAAAGGATTGATAATGAGTCTTCTGATCCCTCAATATGATGAATCTTTCCATTTATGTAGTCCTTAACATTTTTCACCTGTGGTATATAGTTTTCAACATACAGATTCTGCACATATTTTGTTTGATTTATACCTAAGCATTTTATTTTTTGGTGCTATGGTAAACTGTACTGTTTATTTAATTTTGATTTCCAATTATGTTTTGCTTGTATATAGAAATATGGTTGATTTTTGCATGTTGATCTTGTATCGTGGACATTTGTAAAATCACTTATTGGTTCTAGAAGCATTTTTTAGATTCCTTGGGATTTGCTACATGAACAATCATGTCATCTGAGAATAGAGATAATTGTATTTTTTCCTTTGCAAACTGTATGTTTTTATTTAGTTATTCTATTGGCTAGAACATCCAGTGTGATGTTGAATAGGCATAGTAAAAGCAGACACTCTTGCCCTAGCCGGTTTGGCTCAGCGGTTGGAGCGTCGGCCTGCGGTACAGAGAGACCCGGGTTCGGTTCCCACTAAGGGCACGTACCTCCGTTGCAGTTTGTCCCCGGCCCTGGTTGGTCGTGCGGGTGGCAACCACTCGATGTGTCCCTTCACATCGATGTTTCTCTCTCTCTCTCCTCCTCTCTCTCCCTCCCACTCTGTCTGAACAAAAAATGCAAAAATGTCCTCGGGTGAGGATAAAAAGAAAAAAGCAGACACTCTTGCCTTGTTCCCAAACTTAAGGAGAAAGCAGTCAGTCTTTCATTACTCATCTGTAATTTGAAATATTCTAGTAGCCACATTGAAAGGTGAAGAGAAACAAATACAATTAATAATATATTTTATTTAGTATACTATATCTAAAATATCTCAACAAATAATGTAAAAAATTTTTTTTCATATTGTCTTCTAGTTTGTTGGCATTTTATACTGTAAGAAATCATGTAAACAGCCCTGGCCAGTGTGGCTCAGCATTAGAGCATCGGCCTGCGGTCCCACGAGACCCGGGTTCGGTTCCCACTACGGGCACATACATTGGTTGCAGTTTGTCCCTGGCCCTGGTTGGTCGTGCCGGTGGCAGCCACTCAA